CTTGTCGTAAATGCTCAACCAGTCATTGACCTGCTAATTCCAAAAGCATCTTAAATTTCATCTGACTTGTTTATCTTTGAACTTTCTACCAGTGATACTTTACTATGCATTGTAACATAATCATCTTGCATTTGGCATGTGTTTTGTATTAATTATTCTTTAGACTGGGAATTCTGGGCATGGATTACAATTGTGTTTGGATTAGTTGCAGTTTTGGTGTATACTCTTGTCCAACTCACGATTCTTTTGGTTTTTTGCAATAGTGTTTCTGCTCAAATAGGATATTTATGCAAATTGTACTCTGAAACTGCAGGACTCCTTGATTAAACCAGTGACCAAAATCGTGCTCGGGGTAGCAGTGATCACTCTTTTGATAACATTGGTTCTGAAGGAACGTCCAGAATGGATCAAGAGCTCAAACCTTTTTGGTGGAAGCTTCCCTCCATGGATCCTTGCCTGTGCTGTTATTGTTTTTACTCGCATGAGGAAGAGAACTAGGGACTTTTTGAAAAAGCGTGGCTGGTAGAACATATGCCACTGAGCATTCTTGGTTCTGGTCGAAGAGCCAATCTGACTACCTTCAAGGTTTGAGTAAAGCAACTGCATTTTGATGATTTAGTCCTTTGCCTCGTTTTATACTCTGAAAAAAAAAAAAAAGCCCCACTTTTGATGATGATAGATACTAGAACCAGATAATCAAGCTATCTCTGTTTGGTTAGTCGTTGATGGACTTTCATGGTTATATCGTCAATTTTATTTTTCTTGTGTCGATGTTTTTACAGAAACTGAATTAGGATTTATATTGCTCTTCCATTAGGAGTGAAATATAACAATGCTAACAGTAGATAATTATGGGATCCTGTTAAACATCTGATGATGCTAACAAGTGAGAAATCTATCATGTTAAGGAACGTGATTTGAGACTTTGTTCGATTTACTCCTGTAGAACATGAGAGGTGGGTGGCCCAGGTAAGATTTAGGGTTTCGTAATTTCAAGGATTCAGGTTCAATATTTTCTAGTAGCATCTTTTTATGGCCACCGCAAGGTTCTCCTTTCCTAACGTGTAAAATGTGCGGAGCCTTATCCTTTTAGGTTTAGGGTTTCAGGATTTAACTTATGTGGTTGAGATCGGACTGGTTCGTCATGTATGGAAAAAAAATATATATATATAGAAAAAATCCACACCCAAGTGTGAGTGATGAGACTGTGTTAACCGATCCCTGCGTGTTTTCTGGAGTGGCTCGGGTTTGGCTCATAGACGCTCAGGGTGACTAGCAGCAGAGAGTAAACAGTAACTTCTTTCCTTTTAATCACAAACACTACAACCTTCACAGCGTTAATCGTATACCAGGGTTAGTTGACGAGTGAAAATTAAAGAATCCAAGGTTTTGTTGCATCGGGTTTAATAATAATATTAAATAATTTTTTATAGATTAGATTTTTTTTGGGTTAATTTTTTTTTATTTGACCCAAAACATAGAATGGGTTAAGTAAAGACCATCCAGAAATGTGCATTTCATAATGCAATGTACACACTTATATTCAAATTATAGATACCAGCATAGTATATTAAAATTACAAAAAAATATCTAAAAATATATTAATTTAATTTTTTATGTGAAAAGCAATTTAAAAAACAGGTTAATCATAAAAACCAACATTATAAAACATTTGTTTTGTGGTAGCATTTGTGTTTTGTCAAACAAGAAAAGGACTCATTGGCCAGATAGTTTATGTGTTTTGCAATGAATCTCACACATATTTGCAAACCTTGGTATTGTAGAAGCTAAAATAACTTACTTTTTATTTACAAAGAAGCTTTTTATTTATTTTATATTAAAAAACTTATCTTGTGATAGTTTTAACCCTGTACATGTTTTTCCAAACTTATCTTTTTTCAAATCACAACTAAACATATATTACTTTTAAATCTACTTTTTAATTTGCAGCCGCAAAAGTTACTATAATGCCAAATATTCTTGGTATTATAGTTGAAAATTGTTTTTTAAAAATATTTTTTTATTTAAAATTACTCTAACATCAACAAATTAGATTGATTATAATAAAAATATTACATGTTCAAAAAAATAAAAATATATAAAGACCACTCATACATGCGTGTTTAATAATGCATTAAAACCATGAAAAATACCTAAAAAAACATCAATTTAATTTTTAGATAAAACAATGCATTAACACCATGAAAAATACCTAAAAAACATCAATTTAATTTTTAGATAAAAAATAATAAAAAAATAATTTTGAAAAACATGTTAACAGTAAAAATAAAAAACTATCAGAGACAGTTTGTTATTGTGATGACTTTTACTTCTTGTAAAATAGAATTGTTTGGTTAGTTAAATAATTTATATTTTTTGCAATGGGGCTGGTAAATAATTGCAAATTTGGATTTTGTAAAATATAAAATAACTTTTTTTTCATTCATAATTTTTTTTTATTATTTTGTATGAATAAATTCATCTCAGGATAGTTTAACTATTTATATGTATTAAACCCATCTTTTTTATAATTACAACTAAAAATATTTTTTAAATTTATGTTTTAAACTGCAATCTTAAAAATTATCATAGTACTAAATATATTTTATATTATGATATAACATATCTTTTAATTGAAAATAATTTAAAAAATATATAGTTTAATTTCTAACATCAATATTTTCAAGATATAATTATTTTTTTTTTCAAGCTAAACAAAGTTTTAAACACAAAAGCAAATGGTGACGGACTCAGGATTCTTTTAGTTTCACTTGAATTCCTTTTTGATACGAAAGTTCATAAAAACCTTGAAGCGTGGCAGAAAAAAATCTTTAGTTTTTTAAATCAAAACAACAGGTGTGGAAGGATAATAAATTAAGGCGTAGAAAGGATAATAAATTACTCTACAAAATAAAATGAAAACGACTTTATATATATTATTATTTTTTATCAATGCAATTTGATTTTAATTATTACTAGTGTATTGCTTCGCGTTCCAGGTTAATATAATTTTTTTAAATAAAAAATATTAAAAACATTAAAAATATTTAAATTCTATAAACTTGATAGTCTAGATAGGTTCAACTGAATTAATCCAAGTTCCTTAAATATAACATCCCAGCTAGATTCAAATTAGATGGATATAATATCCTTACAAGACCTAAATTACTTGAGTCTTTAAACTCATATTCTTGAATCTTAAACCCGTTTATTTAGATTTATAAGTCTGTGCATCGTCAAATTTAAAGATCTCAGATCTAATATAATATCTAAATTAAAGAAGTTTGAATATGATAACCCTTACTTAATTTAAATAATATATATATATAAACAACCAAAATAACATCTCACAAAAAATACAAAATTAAAAATTAAAATAAAACTACTATTACATTCTATGTAAAATATCTTAATCCAAGTGATTTCTCATTGGCAGACGATCACTAGAAACTTAAAAAGGAAAATAAATTCGTAAAATCTAGAAATAGCAGATCGAAATTGGCGCCGCTTTTTTCTTCTCTTTCTTTCCCCATCTCCTTTCTTACAAACAGTGAAAATCTGGAAAAAGAAAAGAAAAGAAAAGGAGGAAAACTGTTTCTTCTTTTGATTTGAATTTCTATCACCACACCAGCAGTATAATTCGTGACTATTAATAAGAGAAAAAGAAGAACGGCATGTCAGCGCGTAGGCGTACCTTGCTTAAGGTCATCGTTCTCGGTGATAGCGGGTACGATTTCTAGGGTTTTTCTTCAGATTTGTTCAGCACATACAAAATAATCTGATTTGGTATTTTAAATGTTGTCTGTGACTGTCAGGGTTGGCAAGACGTCGTTAATGAATCAGTATCCTCTCTCTTCGTAATATCGCTAGATTTAGCCTTTCTCTGATCTCTTAAATCTGCATTTTGATTAGTTAATTAATTAATTTATTTTGTTTATTAATTAATTTATTTTTTCTTTTAATATTATTTTTAATGTTTGTGCTCTTGATAGTGTTTAATTAATAATAACGTGGTGAGTTCATTGGGTTTTTAATCAATTTTGATGCAGATTATATAGAAATTTAAGGTTTGTTTTGCGTTTTTTTTTTCTTTTTTTTGGTGGGGTGAGTGGGAATGGGATGTATAGTCCTTAATTGATTGCTCAGATATGTGCACAAGAAGTTTAGCCAACAATATAAGGCTACGATTGGTGCGGATTTCGTGACTAAAGAACTACAGATTGATGACAGGCTTGTCACTCTGCAAGTGGGTTTTCAATTCTATTGAATTGTTTTGGAATGTCTGCAAGAATGCTTGCTGAAAATACTAGTATCTAATATGTAGATATGGGACACAGCTGGACAAGAAAGATTTCAGTCGCTTGGAGTTGCATTTTATAGAGGAGCAGATTGTTGTGTTCTAGTCTATGATGTGAATGTCATGAAATCATTTGATACTCTTGACAACTGGCATGAAGAGTTTCTTAAACAGGTTCTTTGTTGCTTTTCTTCATTGTTTCTTTGACGGTTCTCTCATTACCATTTGTCATTAAAGATTTGAACAGTTGGTGTGTGTATTGGAAAGTGTCATGTATATACAGTAGTACAATAAAGCAGTGCATTAATATGGCTTGTGCTTCTTGCTCATAATTTTGGCTTCGGCAGCAGTTCTGGAGAATGGCTAACCACCTTCTTCTGCCCCTAGAATTTACTATCACAGCCTTGATAAAGTTGGGATTTCTTATGCAATGAGTAAATGGTTTGCTAGCCATTCAGCTATCATCTTAATTTCTTTGTCTTGACTTCTTAGGGAAACTTCTTAGTGACTGCAATGGACCAAATAAGTTATAACGATAAACCAGTTAAAAATGGCATTCTGTCCTTTCACTCATCAAAGTGATTGGATTAGCTTGATGAATGGATAGCTGCTATGGCACTGTTGTATATAGATTCTTAGGGCTTCATGATTCCTCAAATTATTCCCACACATCTGGTCAATTCAACACTTACGAGTTTTGCCCAGTATCATATGCATTGAGGTTTTTGTCCTTTACAAGATCTTTTTATTTTGAATAATGGGAAAGGAAATCAAAACATATTTTATTCAACTTACATGCTGTGATATGTTATACTGGGGGCAGATATCAGCACCAAAAGATATGGGTAATGTCCAAGTAACAAAGTCCTGCTAGTGGTCCGAGGCATAGGGGGTTGTTCCCTTTACATTAGGCAATGTTCCATTTTACATGGATTGCACCCGTGGTTTGGGGCGTATGGAATTTTCATCACATGCAATTGAGTCTAGTTTTAGTAATGAGGTAAATGATAATGTCCTCGTAATATATTCCTGCTATGGTCCATGATTCCATTGCATAGGAGGTTTCCTTTTATTGTAGATATTGTAGTCTTCCTTGGAATGCTCCATTTATTCACTCTCCAACTCTGATGTTTGACTCTGAAATAATTATAAAGTAGGTCAAACTACGATTTGTATTTTTAGGCCTTGATTTAGCTGATTTCTCCAAAATATGGGCAGATTTTGCCAGGAGTTCGTGTAATGATAATAATTCTGTTACTTGGTGGTTGATGAATAGAATCATTGTGCTTTCTTAAGGGAATTTGTCAAGGATACTGACAGCTTCTGTGGAAATGCATTAATTTATTTAACTTGGTAAAGATGAGCCATATCATGGCAGCATTTTGTGGAAATGCATCAATTTATTTGACTGGGCATTTCATGCCTATATAATCTACCAGGATAATCCTGCCCATTTTGGCCATCCATCACTTGCCTGCTTTTTCTTGGGTTTATGGTTTGCAACTCTTTAGCTGCTAATTTTTGAAATGGCATTGTTGTTCTCTTTCCAATTCAACATGGTTTTCATTCTTATTCTCTCCCAGGCAACCCCGTCTAATCCCAGGACATTTCCATTTATATTACTTGGAAACAAGATAGATATTGATGGTGGAAATAGCCGAGTGGTAAGGATGTACAATTTTAATCTGGTAAATTCATTTTCCTTTATTCCTTGCCCCGCCCTTGGTCTAATATTTATGCTGTGCAGGTTTCTGAGAAGAAAGCTAAGGACTGGTGTGCTTCAAAAGGAAACATACCTTACTTTGAGACGTCAGCAAAAGAAGATTACAATGTTGATCCTGCTTTCCTGTCCATTGCCAAAATTGCTCTAGCCAATGAGCATGAACAAGACATGTAAGTTTAAATTTTCAGCTGAGTTTTTGTTTGGATTGTATCAGCACCATATATTAGTAATGTAAGTGGTTACAACAACAGCCATAAGTTCAGGTGAAAAAATGGATTGTTGATTTGATATCAAGAAATGAGATGCGATTAGGTCTTCCAAGTTTACTAGACCAAAATCAGAATTAAAAAGAATGCGAGATTACAACAAATAATCTTAAAAGGGAAATATTTATTGGAATGGGTTAAGAAATACAAATTTTATAAGACTCCAAAAACAAAAGGACCTGAAATTACTAGGTTCTGGTTGTGTCTCTATTTCCTTTTCTCTCATACTTCATTTTCCATCTTAGCCTCTTTGTTCTTTCTTAATTCTGAAAATCATTTTTGGCTTTCATTTCTCTTTAGCTCCCAAAAAAGTACTTAACCAGGAAATTCCACAATGCTTCCAAGCTTTTGGTTGCAACCGTAGAAAATGATCAACTTGGCATATGGACAGTTTCATGCTAGGAATTGAAGACTTTGTTTTCTTCCTTTCCAAGCTGATGGAATGCCATTTAAAAGTTTCTCTAGAAGATTGGATATCCTTCCATCCATGATGTTTGTTCCATGGTGTCGTTTCAAATGCTGTGTTATGGGACAAGGATATTTCTTTTCCTACAGAATATGATATTAAAATTTTAGGGTCTTTTAGATGTGTGATTGCAATTGTGCATGCGCTTTTTTTTTCAAAAAATAAAAAATCATTTGCTATTAATATTTAGGATCTACATCCCAGGATGGTGGCCTCTTAGTTTGGTCATAAATGATTTAAAATAGTTTGTTATTAATATTTAGGATCTACAGCTCAGGATGGTTTGCCATTGGTTTGTTATAATCCAATGAAACCAGATTTAAATAAAGGCTCTAATATCTTTAAAAGACCTAATAATAACTAAAAGATAAATAAATTAATCGCCCAACTAACTTAAATAAGACTAAAGTCATTCTAAAAATCTGCTGGTAGAATCAAATTCCAAATTCAAAAGCATGTTTCTCTCTCGTCTTAATGAATCATAAGGCATGACATATAGTGTGCTTGTCTTTTCTCTGCACTTGCTTGTTATTAGCTAAGATGTACTATTTGTATGGTAACCAAAATTTACCAGAAATTTGAACTGTATATGGACTCATTCAGGTTCCTTGGCATGCATTTTTCTTGCTATGCTTTCATGTGTGCTCAAAAGGCAAAATGTTTTCATCTTGGTCTTATTGTTACTAGTTGTGATATGATAAAATTTAAGTTGAGGTTTTGAACCCCAATCCTTGATTTTAAATTTAGTGCTCGCTGTGCTTGTCAAACATTGCAATGATATTTAGAACAATCCAAAACGTTTATTAATGAACTTTTTTGTCCTTGTATTTAATTGCAGATACTTCCAGGCTGTCCCAGAGGCTGCCTCAGAGAGTGAGCAAAGAGGTGGTTGTGCATGTTAAGTTTTGGATAGATCTAAAATATTCGTCTTAGTGCTCATGGTTGGCTCATTTATCATTTTTTTGGTCTTTGCGATTGTTAGCCATTTTCTTGAACTTTATTTTTGTACACTTTCACTTGATCCTGAAACATGCTTGAGTGTTACTGCCGTTTCTAACAGGCAGAGCTGTTTTGGTTTGATAAAATTCGGAGTCTAAAACCGTAGAACTCCACCTAGGGTTAGTATGCCATGAACTGCATTCAGATTGTCTCTGTTGTGATAAAAGAATGGACGCTGTTTTCAGAGGCTTCCCTTTCATCTTATAGTGCCTCCAAGTTAAAGTTTGTGGATCCTGTTTTTTTCCCCCTCTTCTGACATCAGTCTGATTGTCAGTTAAACTAGGTAAAACAAATGGGAAAAAAAGCTATAGCATGCCGGTTCCATTTTCACCGATTTCCACACAACAGCTAACGAAAATGACTTCCCTTTCATCTTATAGTGCTTCCAAGTTAAAGTTGTGGATCCTGGTTTTTCCCCCCTCTTCTGACATCATTCTGATTGTCAGATAAACTAGGTAAAACAAATGGGAAAAAAAGCTATAGCATGCCGGTTCCATTTTCACCGATTTCCACACAACAGCTAACGAAAATGCACCAACATAATCATTCGAAACTCGTCTCGATCCGAAATTTGCTCTGCACTGGCAGTAATTAGTTGCAGGGCAGCATGCCTATTACAGCATAGATGCACTGAAATTATCGTACTCAACAACTCTTGATGCTAAATGTTGAGAATAATTCTTGCTAGTAATTCCAAGTATTAACATTGTTAGGGATAATTGTTACTCGGAAAAGTGGTCTCTGGTGGTGGTAAACTGAACACGCAAGGTGGAGATCCAGTTTTCCTAATCAAAGGAAAATGTATAATGATACAAAAAAAAAAAAACTGTAGCATAATATTTGATCTTCTCAAGAGACAAGCCTAGCAAGCCGTGGTTTCAACTGCATGATGATCTTCCCTTAGCTTTAAATTATTAGTGGCACTTGGGGAGATTCTTCAATATTATATCTTTATGAATATTTAGCCGTTTGATGATCAATTTGATCACCTGACCCTGTTCCACGCCCTTTGCATGTATGTATATACGTATGATCTGCAGGTTTGTTTTTCGCCCATAGCTGCGTGCAAAACGCGGTAATGTATCGGTTCGTATTTTATGTCATCAAATTTTTACTGGGGAGCGAGCCTCCGCTCGTCTGCAGCTATTAAAAATGCTATCGATGGAGTCGAAGCCATTCTTCTTGTTATCACCGTTCACCTTGCAGAAGCTTTTACTAATTCGGTGACTTCATTATCGTTATTTCTACAACTGCTGCTTATATATGTGTACGCTGGCTACCTCAAAATATATTATTTTATGTTACTGTGAAAAATTAGTGGACTTTCATGTGTTTTTGTTAACGAAGATATATAGTTTCACCATTCGTCAAACTTATTGATAATGAAGTTCTATTGGATATGGTGGTGGTGGATAGACAGAGCAGCTATTAGAGAACCACCATCGTCTTCCGGCGGTCAAGAATCAACAAACATTGGAGAGTCAGCAGAAGAAGTGAAGAGAGTAAAGCGCACTTCAACACTGTTTCCTTTGCGGACGACCTTCCTGGTGTATGGTCTGGTACAGGCAACAGGAACACCTTATTCCTTGAACAAAGTGCCGGCCTGGATTTTCGCATTGCTGACAATGACTATGAAGTCCCTTCGAATTCTTTCTTCATTCTCAGGTCAAGCATATCCTCAGATGAAGCTCTTTATAAATCCAATCAATTGGTTTGTGTCTATTCAGAGAATGCTTAATTGTTGAAGTAGGTTTCAGAAATTGGATACAACATGACATCATGGAAGATATTCATCTGGACATATACTTTTTATTGTTAGCAATTCCAAGCGGCGGGAACTTGTGTCTCCATGCTCTTGGCATAATGTCCAGCCACCACAAATGCACGCGCATATCTACTGGTTAAAAGCTCAAAAATACATTTGACGTGGGCACGAGTGAACAAGTAAAGCAGGCATTGGTTTAACCTTGCAAAAACATAAGAAAGCAGCAAGCGTAGGTAGTGTAAGATAATTGAACAATCTTGTGTCTAGAAAAATTATAAAAAGATATTTATTGTGGATTCTCATAACCCCATGCTGTACTTGTATGGAAGAAGCATGGATAGGTAGATTTTTGTAACGTTATGAGTTCAATTCAGAGACAACCACCCCTCAGAGCAAGAACAAGATGAAGCACAGAGCCACCCTCAATATTGTAGTCACGAGCTGTCTTATCATCTCCAAGCTGCTTGCCAGCATAAATAAGCCTGCAACCAGCAGAAAGCATTAAATAAAGGAATGTGGTTGTGATAAAACCTCACTGTAGTTTGACATCCATGTGAAAGTTTTTAAAATGCAGCATGGTTCGTAAAAGAAACCAGGTAATGTTACTACCACGACACATTAACAACTCCTGAGTTACTGATAAATTAAGCATGCGGCTACCAAGGGTATCAAAAACAGAATCGCATTGCTACCTTTGCTGCACTGGAGGAATTCCCTCTTTCTCCTCAACCCGTTCCTTAATCCTATCAATGGTATCAGTTGGTTCAATGTCAATTTCAATTTCTTTTCCAGTTAGAGTCTTCACCTTGATCATAGTTCCTCCCCTGAGCCTCAAAACCAAGTGAAGCGTCGACTCCTTCTGGATATTGTAATCAGCAAGAGTTCGCCCATCTTCTAATTGTTTACCAGCAAAAATCAATCTTTGCTGATCAGGAGGGATGCCTTCCTTGTCCTGAAAAAGGTACACCCAACAAAGTCAGACATGAGTTTCAGCAACTCAAGGTAAAGGAACATCAATCATGACACCAGCCACAGAAAAACCAAAGAAACTTAACCCAAAAGAACACCAACTTGTTACTGCCGCACTTGTTGAATATTCTTGACAAAGCTTTATCAATTTGCGGGAATCAAACAATACAAATAGTCGACTATTGCGGCAGGTAAATTGACAGCGCAACAACTACCATTCCATTGTTCAACCAAGAAAGTGTCATGACTCTCGTTCACGCCATGAAGAAACACACAAACAATTGATGGCGACAGGTATTAAGAGTACTGTGATAAAATGATTTTTAATTGAAATAATATTTTTTTTATTTTTTTAAAATTATTTTTTGATATCAAAATTTTAAAATATT